GGGTTCAGCTATAGTCTGGTTTGATGACATTTACTTAAGGTCTTAGAATGACACATCAAGTTTCTCGTATGAGGATGACTTGTTCCCTGAACTTAACCTGGTAGACTCTCAAACCAGTCAGCGTTGAATACCGTGTTCATGAATGTCATAATTTTGTCTGTACAGTCAGCATGATTCTGCCACACTAATGTCTCATTACATTCATGTTTCCCTGTCTTTGTGTGTGTTTATACAGGGCAGCTTATGACACAGAAATGCGGCGTAGGAATGACTGACACTCAGTGTTCCCCATGTGGAAATGGCTTCTTCATGGACGAATATAATGTCAATAACAACTGGTGCAAACATTGCACAACGTGCACCAAGGAACGTATGTCCACTCAATTTCTTTATGATCACAAAACAGGTTGTAGGTTCTTAGAATGATATGTTCGGCTATGTTCTGAATCTTTAGATGAATCAGTATGAAAAGTCATGAACTAGAAATACCAAACATGACAGTAAAACAAAGCAGGGGCTTCCCCTTCAGCAGATCTTGGGTGGGGTTTTAGTATGGAGGTAGGTGGGGGTCTGAAAAACGTCTTGAGTCTCTAGTAACAAACATGATATAGGACAGCAAGTCTTGAAAATACACGTGTAGCACTGGAAAAAAAAAAGCACCTGAGTGGGGGAATTTATTCTTTGAAACGGAAATAACTGCCTACTTAGATGTCTTGAGATGTTTTGATATGCAGATGTCCTGCTAAAGATTGAATTAGACAACAAGTAGAAACAAAATACTTGTAAAATGGTCGTTTGGGAAGAAAAGGAGATACAGCAAGCAATATAAGAGAAACTAATATTTGAAGTAACTGAACAAACATGTATTAGTTCTCCAATGTTTTTGGGACTCGCTGAAAAGCCCAGCATAAATTGTATTTTACCAAATATAGGCTTGCTGGTTAAACTTGAAAAAAGAAGCCTTGTAAATTATGCAGAATGTTTGCAGATTGTCAGACATGTTCTCTGAAACTTGTGCCAAATGATACTTTAGTTCAGATTATAGATGCCCATGGTCAAATAACCAGGCTAAGGAGTCTAGTGATGAAAAGAGATGAGCAGAAATGAAAACTGAATATCCTGAGGTGGCATGAGTTATTTGTGAGTCAGCAGAAAAGAAAAAAAACCTGTTTTTGAGCTTGCTGTTTTATTTTGACACTTGTGTCTTGTTGAAATGACTGTGTTCACATATGAGTGCAGGCACCTTTGTGTCCTAGAGGGTTTATTCATATACTCAAATGAGGAGATTTCAGCTTTTTCTTTTTGTTGTAAGATGGTCAGCATTTATTTGAAATTGAAGTCTTTTGTAACATTATAAATGCCTCTGCGGTCTCTTTAAAAATTCTATTTTTAAATGAACGTTCAGGGAAAAAATGAAATGAACTAGTGAGTTTGATAAGTGTGAATTAAGGGAGTGTCACAGTTGAAGAAACACTGATATACATAATCCCTTTCACTCTTATAATTTGGCAGATATGAAGAATATGAAGGACTGTACGGCGACAAGTGATGCAGTGTGTACATGTGAGGAGGGCTACAGATGCAGTGACAGCAAATGCCAGACGTGTGAGAAAATTCAGACAACTACTGTTACTACTTCTACTCCTTCTACTAAAACAATACCGCCCACCCATGGTGAGTGCCTGAACCCTGACACGCTGTTGTCAGTCTGTTAAAATAGTCACTGTTGAAGGCAAACAGACTATCACACACACAGAGTATATCAGGTGTATTCTCTATTGACCTGTTTACTCTTTCTCTCTCCTTTTCCCCATCCATTTGCTCCCTTTCTATCAACCTCTTCCAGATAATGTGTGGATCTCGGTGAGTCTGTGTTTTGCGTGTGTGTGTGTGTGCGCTCTGCTCACCTGTTTCCTTCTCATCAGCAGACATGCACGACCATGTGGATGGATCATGTCAACATCAATCGGTCAGTGCCACTGTAAACAACACATCAATGTTTTAATTCACAAAGAAAACCTTGGAACTGCTCTTTATACACCTGCATGAGTGCTTGATATACTGACACTCCATTGCATGAGTTTTAGTATATCTAGAATCTAGTACGTTAGTATAAGTCAGGGGTGTCCAAACTCGGTCCTGGAGGGCCGGTGTCCTGCAGACTTTAGCTCCAACCCTAATCAAACACACCTGAACCAGCTAATCAAGCTCTTATAGGCATACTAGAAACTTCCATTCAGGTGTGTTGAGGCAAGTTGGAGCTAAACTCTGCAGGACACCGGCCCTCCAGGACCGAGTTTGGACACCCCTGGTATAAGTTGTGTTTTGGTCATTCCTGTTTTGCAGTACATTTTGAATGAATTAAACTGACACTGGTCAAGCTCAGACACTTTTTAACTGAATTAAATTAAATGTAAACTTTAATATTAAAATCTGATTTAACCCCAATAATTTTCTTAATAATAAAAAATATAATATAATATAATATAATGGACTGAACAATTGTTTTGAGTGTTTCCCTGCCTATAGCCTGTATATCTAGTAATATAATATAATATAATATAATATAATATAATATAATATAATATAATATAATATAATGGACTGAACAATTGTTTTGAGTGTTTCCCTGCCTATAGCCTGTATATCCAGTAATATAATATAATATAATATAATATAATATAATATAATATAATATAATATAATATAATATAATATAATATAATATAATATAATATAATATAATATAATATAATATAATAATTAAAAGGATTGGAAAGCAATAATGATAACAGGAAAAACCTATACATTTGTTATCAATTAAAACAATATTGTTTTAATTGATCAAAACAATATTAAAGCTAGACATGTTCGAAGTACAGAACACCCAGGGAGATAATAAAAAATCACTTAGTCCACTTAAAATTTAGTGAAATTATTAATTTTAATGCACCTCTATAGTCACTTAATTATAATATTATGATAAGGAAACTAATTAATGTGATTTCCATATTTTAAAATTGTGAGTTTAATATTTCACCCACATGGCATGAAATTGTACTGCCTAACAGGAATAAGCTTTTAATAATGTGTATTGTACTGGGTCATCAGGTCTCTGCCCCTCCGACAAGAGCATCTTTGGATCCAGTCAGTGCACAGAGGAAGAGGAGGTACCAATGCCAGTGCAGGAGGTGTGTGGAAAGACTGAAAAACTGGAGGATGTCTGAGAAAAGAGCAGGAAGAAGACCGCTGATGCGTCTATGGATTGAGTATTTACTCTAATACAAACCTGCTGCTGCCATTTACGCAAGAGAAAATCTGCACTCAGGTGGCCCATATGAAGGATCTGTGAGAATGACTGTCCATCCTGAGAAATGCTGAGATAGAGAGAGGTTTGAGTTGCCACTGCACATAAGGAGACACTCAACATACAACATAAGAGCTAATCTTTTTCAACAAATGAAGGTTTTATTCTCTGCACGCTTGTTTGTATTTATAATTGAGTCGTTTTTGCACAACAAGCCCATGGACTTTTTAAAATCAAGATTTTATGTTCAAATGTATACGAATGTATAAGGTAAAGTTGAAGTTTTTCACTATTTTGTAATAACTGTAAAAATATGTCTCAAAACATTAGGAAGTTATAGAAACTGTATGTATAAAATGATAAGAGAATGAACAAAACATTTTAAATATTTTATGGAAATATAGCATGTCAGTTACAAGAACTATTTTGTGTCAGCTACCATAAAATAGAAAACAGAATTGTAGTTGTATTTGTATTTGCTAGCTTGCAGTGAAATGAATTAGGTACTCAGGGAAACATACCAAAAAAATAAACCTTTATTGATTTTATTGCACTTTACAATTAATATCAAGCTTAAAAAAAAAAGTGTATTACAGTGAATATAAAACATAATATATGATGAAGCCATTGCTTATTGACTTCTGAATGAAGAAACAACGTTGACATTTCCAGACCACCATCAAAATGTCAGGGCTTTTTGATGGCATAATCCATCATATCTCACATAAAAACCAAAGAAAAGAGGAAGAACACTGACAACATTAACCAGGGACTTAACGCGATCGAACACTGATAAACTGCATGAGAACAAAAAACGTTTTTTGTTTTTTTTTAACAACTGTAATATAATTAATAAGAGTTACAAATAAATAAAAATGTTTTGTGACTTGAATAAACTTTACATAAAATAAATATCTCAACATATGTGAATCTTTGGTCTTCTGAGGGTTTTAGAGCTGCTCTTTGCTTTCAAACACTGTTCCTGAGGGTCAGTCAACCATCATGAGCCTTTGGTGTCGACTCTTCATGCAGTTAACATCAGCATCACACTGCCGTTCTGATGGTTTAGAATCAGTGTTTCTGCGTAAACGTACATTATGGGTAATACTGCCAAGCTGGCATGAACTGTCAAGCTCATACGCAACACTTATGTCGTCCATACTGTTAGTCAAACACCCCGGTCTTCCCCTAACGCAGCCTGTTGCTGTCTAGATGAAATCCCCTGCCAGGGTTAGAGTTTTAATACTGGGTACTCACGAAGCATCAGTTAAAACAAACCACGCAGCAGCTGAACAGCACGGAAGAAGAACGGACACAAGTATTCCATCATCCCTCACAGCACCTCTTCTTTAGATATGTGGCACTCTTTCCCTTGCTCCTGAGATGGGAAGAAGATAAAATCGTTCTCTCTGCTCCTTTCCTCCTCAGACAGATGGATGGGGGGAGACTGAGGGTAGGACACGTTGGTGTTGTTTAGTGATTCTTCTTGGAGTTCGTGTGCTTTTTTCTCGCCGCCATCCCATCCAAATTGATTGAGCAAACTAACAAAAACTGTCTGGGGACCATAGATGTGAAGAGGGCCTACGAGAAAGTGAGAATGTTGAATTTTCATACTATTTGAACGTTTGCTTGGTTTTTTGTTTTTTTTATGTGGGGGGTGTCATGTATGGAAGCCCGTTTTGGCCACTGAATAAAAAATAAAACAAGGTAATTGCGACTTTTTATCTCACAATTCCAACTTTTTTTTTGTCACAATTGCGAGTTTACAACTCAAATTTCTGACTTTTTTCTCAGAATTGCGTCATATAAACTGGCAATTCAGACTTTTTTCTCACAGCAAGTTTATATCACACAATTCTGAGATTTAAACTTATTAAGATTTGTAAAGTCCAATTCTGAGGAAGAAAAAAAAAACTTTTTATTTTGTTTATTTTCTTACAATTGCAAATTTATATCTCACAATTATGACTTTTTTTTTCTCAGAATTGTGTTTAAATCTCGCAATTCTGACTTTTTTCTCACAATTGCAAGTTTATAAGTCAGTTCTGCAGTTATATCACGCAATTCTGAGAAAAAAAATTGTGAGATATAAACTTCACAATTGTGAGAAAAAACATAACTCACAATTACCCTTTTTTTATTCAGTTGCGGAAACAGGCTTCTATGGGGATATATATATATATATATATATACTGTATTTATATATAAAATGTATGTATGTACAGTATATACACACACACACGCACATTATAATAATATTTTTTAATTATTATTTCAATGATTATATGTCTGGTTATTTAATTCTTATATACTATTTCATTTATTATTGTATTATTAATAATTCATACAAATGTCATCTGGTGTAACTGCGTAACCATCAAGTCAAAAGTATGTTATACATTTAGTTTTATACATACATGAATATACATATGGTCAATTATATTTGGGTGTGTTCATGTTTTGTATGGTTGTTTTGTTTATGCTGTAATATTTAGTTTTTGTGTTTATAGGACCCCCTTGAAAATGAGATGTTACATCTCAAGGGGCTATGCTTTCAATAAATTCAAAATTAAATTGATGTGATATTTTAAGCAATTTATTGACCATAAGGGTCTGTAGTAGTTCTCTCTATGATATAATTACCTGTTTTGTTTTTTACTGCATGTTTGTGTATATTGGTTTGGCCACATGACATGATTTCACAGTCAAATTAAATGTTTTTTTTTAAATATTAATAAGCAGTGAAGCAGTTTTGTTAATAAATAATAATTAAAGATTACGCCAAACTACTTGATAAAACTTTTGCTTTTCAAGAATTTCATTATTTTAATGTTTATTTATTTATTCATTTTTTTATTATGGTATCATTCACATTTTTTTTAGTTTATGCCCCTCACTTCATGCCATAAAGATGTATATTTAGGTCATATTTTTAAACAAATTAATAGATCTGGATAAATGAGCTTCATAATTCTTTTAATAAAAGAAGAAAATCACAAAAAGCAGCTCTTTATAGTACCTAAATTGCCAGCTGGAGGCACAGCCTGCTCTGAGCTGATTGGCTGATGAAATGAGCAGTCTGTGTTGTGATTGGTGGGTGTGCTGCCATCTGACAGCATCTCCTGGGCATGGGGCTGCTCATTTGGTTGGCTGGTAGGAGGTGTAGTCTCACTGTCCACCTGAAGAAAATGAAGGACTGTGAGTCAGATGATTCATGACATGTTCACATACTACAGAAATGTGCATTAACTCTTTACTTACCTCCATATCACCCAAGGAGCACTGCCTGACAACTAATGAAGAGAAGAGACCGTGAGAGGTAAGATTAACCCACAAAACCTGAGAAAAAATGTGTTTGCGTTCATATGTGTGTGTGTTGTGTTACTCACAATGCTTAAAACATTCCTTCTCTTTCTTCCTGCAGAGCCGGAGGAACAGCATGAGGATGATGACGGATAACATTACAGAAATGAACCCACATAAAACCAACACCACAACACTATTGTCACCTGTAAAATAAATACAAGGATGTAAGTTAGCATAACTATTTATGTTGAGATGAAGAGTTGCATAGGTGAGATGAATGTCCTATAGGAATTTCCTATATGGGAAAGCGCTCTTTAAGAAACGGTGCTCTAAAAAGGTTATATCAGGTAATAGCAAGAGTTATGTAAAACAAAAAATGAATGTCCGCAATTAAATATCTAATGAATATCAAGACTGAAGTGCCTTTTTTGACTGATTTGTGCAGCACTCGAATGGGTTGTTGATTCCTGAAATAAGGTTTGTGGTTAACACAAGCTCAAAATACTTCTGTCATGTTTTATTGTACGACATTTGTTCTTGAAAAGTGTTTTCTGTTAAAGGGGACATAACACACACAGTTTCTGCCAATCTCATGTTAATCTCGAATACCTATAGAGTAGTATTGCATCCTTCATATCTCCGAAAAAGTATTTAGTCTGATCAGATTTATGAAATACAGATACAGCTTTACGCTTCCCTCTGAAAACAGTCGAGCTCCTGGAGGCGTGCCGTGGGCGGAGCTAAAGAGCCACAAGCATGCAAAGCTTTTGTATAGTGATTGTCTGCAAGCTGTGACATCGACATAAATAGTTGAAAACCATTTGAAATTTGTGTCAGCACGTCATAAATAGAACCCGGCAGCAGTTTTCTGTCGTTTCACAGTTGTTTCACAGAACTAATCATTGCCTGGGTTGCGTACGTATATGTGGGGCGGAGCTATCAAAATAGGGGCAAGACCCTTTTGGGGTAGGGGCGTGTTTGTTTTGGTGATTTCAAATATCAACATTGGCTACCAGAAATCACTTACTCTGCCTTTAACATTGGGTTCTTTGGGAAGCTGAACAAGGTTATCTTTCCCTCACAACCAAAAAACACTTCTTTGGTGACAATGTTGATTTTCGCACTCTTCCGGGAGAAGCGACCATACAAGGAAATCCGCCCTATATGATGTCATGCAGGGCAATACTCAAAAAAAAACAAACTGAAACTTATACAAACCCTGAACAAGTGTATTTGGCACAGAAATACTCTGTCATACATCCAACTCGTTTTTTTTTTTTTCTGAAACTTTGGCCGTGTTTAGCATGGGAATCCAACACTTTAACAGCGTAAATAAGTCAGAATGCATGAAATAGCATTAGAACTCCCCTTTAAAGAGAATATCTCGCTTTTGATTGGACTTTAAGCTTAAAACTTTGCAAATCTTTTTTTATTCTCAAACAGCAACATCACACACTAACTAAAGTTGAAAAAGTGAAAAAGCATAATATAGGACCCCTTTAAGCAACAAGGATGATTTGATTAAAACAAAGATATACAAACGTGTTTTGGTAATATTAGATAATATGTGTAAAAAATAATAGTCGAGGGCCAAGTCGAGATGACAGGCATGGGGGCCCTTGCAGTCAGGCTCTCATGTTTTTGGCCATGGGGACTGATACTTTGGAAGCCCCTGTTAATCTGAGGCTCTGGGAAACATTCCCATTGGCCCAGTCCATAATCCAACCTTGCTTCAAGCATACTACCCTTCCTTAGATGGTAGCAAATCCAAAATACTGCTTAGAATACGAGTGCACACACATCATGTAGATGAAAACAACAATGCTTACCCAGCCCGATCTCAGCTGTCTCTGTGGATGAAGTGGTGGATGTAGTGGATGAAGGGACGTCAGCATAGGTGGAGGACGGGACTGGGGTGGAGACAGGAGCACAACTGTGACATTGGCCTGTGTATTGATCGATCGCGGTACAAGTGTAACCCTCCCGACAGCGACACTCCACATCTGATGTTATCGTACACGCCACCACCACCGTCATGTTGAATTCTAACACACACACACATTTGTTTTCAAAACGTTTTGCCATACTTCCTGTTTCTGTTCTCACTCCATCCTGTTTATACTGTTGTGGGTTAATTAGGTGTAACGAGCTTCATACCAGGTAAGCAGTTCTGGAAGCAGCGGTAGCATATGTCTTCTCTGTTTTTCTGACTGGTGAAGAAACCGGGTTTGCACTGAAGACACCCAGAGACAGACTTGAAATATCCTAAGAGATGATGAACAGTCAGGAAGACACAGTGGAAAAATAGGAAGTGGAAATGAAGAGGACAAAAAAAAGGACAGTAAGGTCAAATGAATTCAAACTAACACGAAATATGTTAGTGACTTTAAGCCTATCACTGGACTTCACACCACTTAGAGTCAGTCGACTTTGTCAGGTAGACAGAGGTCATTCACTTGTTGGTCTAAGGATGTCCTTAGCCATTACATCTCTCATTTGTGTGAGTGGCGTGAATTTATGACGCCGTGGCCAATCGGATCGCTGTTTCTTTCATACTACATGACTGTTTTGGGTATCATAAAGTTGCTGTGGTTTGCACAATGGATCAGCAACTGGGGGTCACATATTATACAATATTACACTAGGAAGAATCCCAACAACTCTGTCTTGTGTACAAAAAGTCATACAGGGAATGACGCAAGACTACGACTCCTCCCCCTGATTTCCCTTGCCCTGTATCTTGTTCTCTCATTGTCTGTAGGTGACCCGGAAACCGATTGAACTCAGCCATCTTGAAGGACATCCCGATTCACTAATTGCAACGCGAGGAACGAGAAGTGAGGAAGCTTCCCGAGGAGTTATGAGTGAGGATACACAGGTGTATCCTTCCCTCGCATCCTAAGGGGTGGAGCTAAGATGCAAGGAAAGGAAATTATGAAAGTAAACGAGGATGAAGAAATAAGAAATGAGAAGCACCCTCTGAATCCCAGACAGGTCCATATATTTGGCCTGCTAAATAGTTCTTGGGCATCGGCACTTATCTCTAGGGCTGGGTATCGAGTTCGATACTTTTTAGGCACCGACCGAATTGCCTCGATACCATCGAGTATCGAAAAACGTCTTGTCGTTCGGTACCAAATTTCGATACCTAAGGGGTTAATCTCATCAGCGTCAGTGAGCCAATAAGCCTGCAGCACTAGCCGGTGTGTTCGACTAGAAGAGGTGCGGCGCAGATCGATCATCCGCGAGAGCGATTCGAAAGCGCACGGAGCAGTCTGCTCTCTTTAGCTCTCGTGGTACTGTAATACACCCAGTATGGGAAGCCAAACAACTCAAATGTGGGACGAAACAGCGCGGTATTAAAGTGTTCGCGCCGCGCTGACCTGT